TAGTCTGATCATTTCCGTGTCAACTAGATATATTTTGGGCACATGAAAGTCAAAATCTAGATATTTTCTTTTTACGATTTCGAATCTATTCGTCCTTGGTCGGCATCGTTCCTATAGAAATATCTAGTTATTCCATAGCACGAACAGTATGATCAAGTGGAACGCTATACTGCCGTGTAAAAGTTGCGACATTCCAGCGTTTAAGTTACTATCGAATGGCCCAATGGTCTGTTGAGACCTATGTCTTATGGCCATGGCGTTTTAAAGGACNGACAAAACAAGAAGAGAAATGATCCTGTAAAGTTTCGATTTTTCAGGTTGTACTTAGTTTCATTGTCAACGTGGTTGTTACATTTCCGTAAAATTAGTAGGGCTGCAACGATATATCGCGATATTTTGAACCCAGTAACGATACACAATATGTCTGGGAAGTCACGAGACACCTATGATATTTTGCGAATTTGATGTTTTTGAGTTAAGTCTACTCATATCCATTACCACATGGCCAGTGACCGCTACACCTCGGCGTTCACGTCGAAAGACGTGAATTGTGTGAAACTTTAAAGTCATACCCATTTCAAGTCCATTTCCAATTGTATTATTGCCATTTAAAATTTCAACAAATTTTTTTTTATTGCTTTTACTGTTACTATATGTATCGGGATACGTATCGTATCGTCTTGTTAATGTATCGTTGCAGCCCTAAAAACACATTCATAGAAACTTTTTGTTATTTCTGAGAACTAGCATATCGGTACCTATCATCTTATACAAGTACCCGATGGATGATTCTTTCATTGCATTTGTTATTTGTTACTTTGTAACTCATAACTTTTATAATACTGTCACTCGTATGATTGTATCAATACCTTTATCAGTATACAATACAGCCACTTTTATTTTAATATACAAACTTCACAGATTGTTTTATTTAAAATTAAGCAGTTCTCCTATTAAGTTTTCAAATTCACAAATTAAAGATATTAACACCCCTGCCCACTGGGCCAATGATATTTACACACCTGCCCACTGGGCCAATTATATTTACACACCTGCCCATCTGTTTCAACTGTAGTTTGGACCTATTTTGATTTCGAACATTTTGGTTCCTAGCGTCACCACTAAGTCCTAGAAAGACGAAACAGCTGTATGATGCAGTGTGATTCTTCAATTCGACAGACTGTATATATTACCACATGTTAAAGGTGCAATCACCCGTGTGTGTGTTTGTTGTGTTAGTTCGTTATTGTTGGTAGCACGTTAGACAAAACTAAACCACACCAAATCGATTAGACAGGAGACATGGACAAATGTTACCCCTTTTCACTTTCGCTATTCATTTCTTCTGTTACAGTCACATGTGCATGTTTAACGTTTATCGGGAAACTAGGAAAAATAGATCCTGCGGAACGACTGGTGCTCCCGGTTCTGTGCTTTTTCGATGGTATCCATGGAGGTCCTCCTTCGTTCGTGTTCTTCCCTGGTTTTTCTTTTTTCAGCTATTTGCAATTTTGTTAACAATTGAATATTTTATTATATTTATTTTTATTATTATATCTAAGTGAAGTTATTACTTTAAAAGGGTTTTTTTGCATTGAAAATAGCTGTTACTCAGAGTCTGACGTCATAAAAAAAATGGTGGTTGACGTTTGTAAGACCCCTTAGACTTTTGGCCTTTAGTTGAGCGTTCGCCCCTGTGAGGAAGGCTTTGGGTTCTGTCCCCTGGCGAAACATACCAGAGTCTGTAAAAAAGGTAGTTTCTACTCATGCTTAACGCCCAGCAATTTAGGAGTGGGACGGCTGGTTCGCCCGTTGTCAGTTTAATGTGACCGGGAGGGGTATCTTCGGCAGAATGTTTCAGTGAGGTAGCACTATAAAGTCGGTATCAGTTCCGCGCTACACATGGAGACAAACACGAACATATCGCAGCCTCCCAAAACACATACGCATACACTACACGCATGCATCTTGCACACAGGGGAGGCCGTCCTTAAATTACTATAGCTGTTGATAGGACGTTAAACAACACTAAACCAAACCAAACCAAACGCTATTAAAATATAATCTTAGCTGTTACTTTGATATCTATGTGTGACTGTGACGTTGAACGAAGACATCGTACATTTGATCTACGTCACTCAAACTGTTCGTTACTTTAGTCTTCGATATAAAGGAGAATCCCAAACACTGTACGTTACTCTGATGCATTAATTACGGGAGCAACTTCATTATTTGGCATATTTAGTTAGGGTATTGGATATTCCGCAAATATCTCGTAAGGTGATCGGGAAATCTGTGTAATCAAGCTCAAATATCTCCTCGCATCAGCTATGTAGCAACAACGTATTTATTTGTACACAATATGTTATTAAGCGTCAAAGTACAACTGCCAAAAAATGTCACTAAATGACCTTGACCTACTTTCAAGGTCACAGGGGTCAAATATGTCAAGAAACGGCATCACTATATCTTTGATAAATCATTTCTTTGAAACGAAAACCATATCTTACTGTAAGGACAGGGATCCTTAAATTTCGCAAAACCGAAACCAAAAAAAAAAGTCAAAGCAAAGGTTAGAAAACTATTTTTTAATGCAATAAATGATAAATAAAGATAAAATCAACAAGACTGATAAAGGCGAAGCACTTAATCATAGTTACCTACAACTCAAACCCTTAAAGGGGCTGAGTAATTCAATATAGCTATAAATTGTACAAATATATCATTGAATGAAAAAGTTCAAAGCACTTAACGACAAAACGAGGAAGTATCATTTCTGATAAAGTTTATGTATTTTCCCTTTAATACACTACAAATCTTATGAACCACATGACAGATTAAATATAAATAATGGTGAATATACATAAAACGTGAGATATCTTTTGTGAACTACGTCATGAAAATTGTGGAAATTACCTAAATGGTAAAGGTTAGCACTACAGCATCAGTTGAGTAGGACACCTCGTCATAACTAAAGCATATTCATTCGAGCAGTAAACATTGAGGAAAACCGACTTCGACTATAAAGAACTCAAATACTATTTAGAACTTCAATTTCACAAGCTGATGATTTTGCAGCTTTATTCCCGGAACAAATCCGCGGGGTTTCGTAAATTTCGTACAACACCGTTATTAGCTTCATATTTTGCGTGTTTTGTCAGGTCACGAATACAGTGTAAATGAAACCTCAAAACTTAAGTACCGTTCGGCACCTGTTGTCTTTATTGGTATTGTTGGTATGATGTATAATTTCGAAAATCAATGATCGCAAATTTTTTTTTATCTACCTTAGTCTTGATCGTTTCGCTTATACAAATATAACATTTTACAAGCAAAGTTAATTGATTTAATAAGATACATAATTAGCGTCCTAAACTTATGTTCTATTCATGATATATTATCAAAGAAAAATTTAAAATGATTCATAAAACCAGAATCGGACCACTAAGAGCTACATGAGTTTTTTAACAGTCATGAGTCTTCAATTCTTAGAAAATGAAACTGGATATATCAACAGCAATAAAAAAAAATGTTTATATACATACACTAGATGTGTTAAAAGAAGTGTTTTCTTTATGAAACAGATGTTTCTAAAATGTTGATAAAACACTGTTAACGTACTAGAATGTATTTAAATTGCGCACTGAAATTTAGGCTCATAATCGAATTGTAACAGATAAGGGCATGGATTAATTAGCGCACCCATAATATACGTTATAGACATGTTAAACAGACGTTTCAATTAGCGCAATTTGTAAAGCATATGAGGCGCTAAAATAAGAAAACCGCTAACATATGGATGTTTACAGTATGTGTCTTTTCTGTGTGTTCTTTCTCTTATTCTTCTTTAGATCGCAATTCTTCCAGCCACAAAGAGACAAACCAGCATCAGGACCACGCTAACCCTCGAAATGGCTGAAAAATTAAATGCAAAAAAAATTACATATCAACATCATGTTTATACTAGATATGATATATCCCGCCGATTACACAATCACACGGTCGTTTTAATAAACGAGTCACAAAAATTTCCTCAATTTTGAAATGAATACTATGAAATTATTAATTTTCGTGGGATGTGGGATTTTTAATTTTGTTGATTTTGTGGGTACTCTTCATCCACGACTTCTTAGGTCCATGAAGATATTACAGGTTTGACATAAAGCTATTTCTCGTATGAATTGGTACTGGCAGTTCATGTTTTCACACAATTGTTATTTTTTGGTAAAACCAGTAAATTTGGACACCACGAAAATGTCTAATTTCACGGTAGCTGAGTTCCATCAGTATATAAATTGGAAATGATATTTATGTATTTTTGATCGCTAAAATAGGCATTAAAGAACTAGTTATTGTAGTTGAGACTTATACAAATATGTAAAGGGAGATAAGATAAGTTTGGGTTAATTTATTGTGAAAGTAGGAGTTGTCGGATAAGACCAAACGAACTAAAATTCAGCGTTCACAAACCTGCATAAACTTCTTAAAATCCCGCCTATCTGAAGTAGGCATTATTCATATATTATCCCTTTTAACAGTAGCGTGGACGTAAACAAAACAACAGTAATTGTTTGATAAACCTAGCTTAAAATATCACGATTGTTTCCTCAGGAAAACGGTTGTTAGGTAAACCAAAAATCACTCGATGTAATATCTTTAATCTATCCAACAACGCAGGGTACATGGAACATACCAAAAGCGATCTGCTGCCCCGATTGCAACACCTTAGCTGTTGTCTCCCTAGGCACCCTTCCTTATATGACCTTGGCTGTTGTGTCTCCCTGGGTACCCGTCCTTATATGACCTTGACTGTTGTGTCTCCCTATGCACCCTTTCTTATATGATCTTGGCTGTTGTGTCTCCCTAAGTACCCGTCCTTTCATGACCTTGCCTGTTGCAAGGACGATAAACCCCAAACAAACAAATAAAGTTTAAACCAAACACCATTTGCCTATTCATGTGACTTAACTTGACACATTATTGGTTCATGCTTAAACCTGTGATCATGTATTCGTAACTTGTTTAATCCAATAACTATAAACGGAATTATGCCCCTAAACCGTCCCCCTCTGACCTTTCAATTAAAGTTGCCCTATTTTTATTCTTAAAAAGCGTAACTTTAGATACCTTAATTTTGTTCACGTCGCTGTCTTTGACTCATTGCACAGTACATGATAGCATGCTTACCTTCTGCCGCTCCGGAGCAGGAACGGGAGCTGGAAGCACCGCCCGGACATGGATTTTCGCACGAAAACCATCCGGAGGGGCAAATCTGAAAAGAAATAACGCTATGCTTATATCTTACATTTAGATTTTATATTATATATGACGGTTAGCATTTGGTACCTTTGATTCCAGTGATTTGAGTGTAGATCCCGATATATAGAGGTTCCCCAACGAGTGATGGTTGGTTATCATGTTTATCTAACCCGAGTTAGTTATTTTTCAAATTGTATAAAGCCGCGAGGTCTACCGAGAGCCTTTTACAATTTGAAATTTTACTTAGGAGAGTAAGATAAACATGATAAACTACCATTAACGNCACTAGTGGGTAACCAAAAATGTTTACCAACTCCTAGCAGATTTATCCAATGAATCAGGAGTGAGGAAACCTATAGTGGTTATTGGAGAAATTGCAATACAAAAGGTAAAAGTAAATCATTTACAGAATGTTATCAAACTGAATCGTATATGATATTGATCACACATGCTTAAGATTATTTGTTAAACCAATAAGTGATTATGAAGTTTTGAATATTGATTTATACTTGTAATGGCCTGTTTATGGTTACTGGCATATCTGTAAGAATGTGAAGTAATAGACAAAGTTTAAACTAACAGCAGATACATAAAAATATTGCGATATGGCGTTATTTCACTTTTGTATTGCGGTATAATACGAAATGCCTCTGTATTGCGATCTACCGGTTTTCAAATATATTGCTACAACCTACTGATTTCAACATCCACTAAACACGAGTTACTCTCACTTTAATTTCCAGATTGAATCATCTCATATCTACAAGTGAACTCTTACCTGCACATAGGTACCGGGGGATGGGCTTGGACAGACAGCACTGTTGCACGATTGAAACTCGCTAGAGTCTCCCGAACATTGGAGGCCTCCATTGGCAGGAAGTGGAGAGTCACAGCTTCGTGTGCGCGACTGACTTCCACCTCCACACGTGACTGTGCACACACAGTACGATCCCCAGGCTCCCCAGGCTCCCCAGGCTCCATCGACTAAAATTGACAATTAAATCTCAATACACTCAGTGAGATAATAAACCGACTCTTCTTTAAATTACAAAACCAATTCGTACTTGTATGACAAAATTAAATTGGGTATTTCTACTCTACATTAATGTATTATTAAGTTGATTTGATTATTATCTTGTCATAAAATAAATTTAAAATTTATGCAATTCCTACGGTTTGCAAGTCAGTTTTGTTAAACTATGATAACTAATTTTCGACGGGGGAAAAATGAAGAAAAAATGTTTAGATGGCTAGTATATATATAAAATGATGAATACCGGAACTATTTTGCTGCAGTTCATATTTCAACTTTATCAACCTTCGCACAAAAAAATGCTACAAAATACTAAACTGTATATACCTTTGAAATTATACCAAAATACCTACTGATGCAAACGGCGGTGTTACAATCCTGGGTCTCGGAGTCCGGTCCATTGCAACTGGCACCCCCGTGGGCAGGGGCTGGTTGGGTACAGCTACGATTTCGGCCCTGAATGCCCCCTCCGCACGTGACGGTACACGTGTCCCACGATGTCCAGTCTGTAACCCCGCCGTCAACTGCGATAGGGCACGGAAAACATGTTTATAATGTTGTATCATATACTGATGACTGAAAATATAAACTTTATTTATTTTACAACAATTATGAAACAAGTTTTTACAACTTATATTAATCACTCTTGTTGGCTCGGATGTTAGAGCGCGGGGGGGGTATTAATGTGAGAGGAAATTGGAGTAACCGGAGAAAACCCACGTGGTAGGGCAGTTGACCCCATTCCTTTTTAGTTTAAACATATTTATTGCCAAAATTAGACAAGGGATTAGGCACAAGTTATAACAACTTATCAACGCCTTCTCCCAATATACATTTCACATGACATTACAATAATGACAATAAATATATACAATTGTTATTACAATTTGAACTCAAAATCTCTTGCTGGATTTAATAAAGTTTTGCACAGATCTAAAAATGTTTGAGTTAAGGTCCACGGAAAATTGTGAATTGCCAAACAAAAGAATTTCTAAATTTAACGCAACATTCAAATTAATCAAATTTTGAACCAAAATACGTCTTTCGTTTGTAAAAAGTTGACATTCCATAAAATAGTGAAAGACATTCTCACAAGGATGACCACAATTACAAGATGCACTCTCAACAAGGTTAACTCTAAAAAGGTCATAATTAAGGGAACTGCACTGGTGTCGGAGTTTAGTATGCAAGATATTAAGTTTACGATTTCCGATTTTAAAGTAAATAGGTGGACTTGACTGAATATTTGATGTTAAACAGGATTTGAATGAATTAATAGAGGGTAGAGATCGAACCGAATTGTCTAAGTTATTCCAATAGTGAAGAGTAGAAGGTAGAAAAGAAGAATTAGTAAGAGATAATCTGAAAGGAGGAATCCTATAGTTATTATTGTTACGTAAAGCGTAACGATTATTTTCTCCAGATAAAGGCGGCAAAAGATGATTGAAGTAATCAGGAGTTAATTTATTATGCATCTTATACAATAGTTGAAGTTTCCTCCGTTTTCTGCGATTAGATAAAGTTTCAAGACTAGTTTCGTAATATAAAGTATTAATAGGAGTATATGAAGGAAGTCCTAATATAATGCGAGCAGCTTCACGTTGGGCTTTTTCTAACTTTTCAGATTCAAAAACAGTGCAACCGTCCCACAACTCACAAGCATATTCTAAAACAGGTAAAATAAAAGTCTTGTAAATTATTAAAAGAGCATCCCTACTTAATAAGAGTTTCAGTTTCCGTAAGACATTAATTTTTTTCATAACAGAAGTGTAAATTCCATTTACATGATCCCCCCACTTTGCATTCGAATTAAAAGTTACCCCTAAATGTTTATGACAATCTGTAAAATTTAAGACTTTCCCATCAAATTCTAAATCTAAGTCTTCTTCGATATCGATTGAATTCGAAATAAACAATACATCTGTTTTTTCAGGATTAAAATTAACCAACCAGGTTTTCGACCAAGTATTTAAGATATCTAGGTCTCTATTTAAAGTTTCTTGAATTTCTAGACAAGATGAAGATGACTTAAGTAATGATGTATCGTCTGCAAAAAGACGAGACGTTGATTCAAAAATATCTGCTATGTCATTAATAAATATAAGAAATAAAAGTGGGCCAAGAATAGAGCCTTGCGGAACCCCTGCCTCAATTAGACCTACAGAAGAATATGAACTGTTTAAAAATACCTTTTGGTGTCTCTGAGACAAATAATTTTCTAACCACATAAGCAATTCACCTGAAATCCCGTACGATTTTAACTTCACTACAAGACCTCTATGCCAAACCCTATCAAAAGCTTTGGATATGTCACAGAATACAACACACGTATGTTTTTTTTCTTCAAGTGCAATACAAATTTGGTGATATATATCAATGAGTTGATACACTGTAGAATGACCATGCATAAAACCAGACTGATATTTGTAAAACAAAGAATTTTCTATAAAGTAGTTGTACAAATGTTTAAAAATCACTCTTTCAAAAACTTTACCAACAGTGGACAGCAAGGAAATTGGTCTATAATTCGAAGGAGAATGTCTGTCACCCTTTTTAAACAATGGCATGATATTAGCTAATTTCCATTTATTTGGATAAATCCCTGTTGATAAGGACATATTAAATATTATTTCGAGCGGAGTACAAACAGTGCAAGCAGTATTTCTTAGCATATGGTGGCTGATTCCATCCCCACCCGAGGCCTTGCCGAGCTTCAATATCTGTAGAACATCGCGTATTTCAGTTGAATGTAATCTAATTGAACTAATATTTTTGTCAGTTTTTGGCACAATAATCGGGACATCCGTGTTACTGTCATCTACTCTAGTAATACTACAAAAATAGTTATTTAATAATTCAGCTTTATCTTCATCTCTAGTAACTATGTCATTAGTAATAGGATCGACTAAGGAGGGTATAGGTTGTGAAGTATCAGACGTTTTAATTAACCTTTTAATTAATTTCCAATAGGACTTAGGATCAGAAGATGAGTACCCATCAATAATATCATAAACATTTTCATAAAAAGTAACACGTGCATGCTTTTTCATATTATTTATTTTGTTTAGCTGTGATTTGAATTTATTGATATCTACCCCATTCCTTTCCACATGCGGTCGGGGAATCGAACCCCGGCCGCCTTGGTGAAAGGCAAGTGTGCTATCCACTGCACCACCCGACAATTGATGACTAAGGTAATTAATTGTAATAGACATGAAACTGTTAATGTGCATACTTTATAGAGATTCTAGTTTAAGCGATTTCTGTCCCTTAATTAAATACGGTTGATTCATCAAAGAGCTAATAAGTTTTAACTCAATAATATGCTAAAATTTGTGCCCGCTAAAATATGCACTTTAACAGTATTTGTCCAGGATTCTGATTGTCAGTCATCATTATCATTATCACATAACTGGCCCAATTCACTATGTCATATATATGGTGGATAACACACGGGTAATAATACCTTAAGGTGCTGTGATTGGTCAAAATCGCTGGAACATATTCCTACGCCACTACAAATGCTACTTCTATTTACTATTCTACACGATAAATTTACTGTTGTTTAAAATGAATTTGAATTATTATTTTCATTGCACGTAAAACTATTCATATATTTTTTTTAATCTGGAACTACTTTGCACTGCGCGGAACAACAAAAACGTGATTGGAGAACTTTGGTTTTGAACTATATAGAGTCAACAGAATGTTATGTGATAAATGGTAATCTTATACTCGTGTCCATGTCATATTTAACTTTATAAACTCGTTCATTTATTTTACTATTAACTTTATTTACATTTCAAAGTGGTAAAGTTGTGTGTATGATCTGCCGGGAATATTAAAATTTTGTTCACCATTTTGATAATTCCAAAAACTTCATGAAAGAGACGCAGTAGATATGATATCTAGCAAATCAAATATTGAAACAATAAGAATATTTTAGTACATTACTGAATATTGTTTTGCCAACATAAATCACTGCAGCTAACCTGGGCACATTGAATCGGGACGTGACGGGACGGGACGATTTTCTATATATGGCAAGTGTGACCTTGGCCTTGACCTTGGATCCCTGAAATACAGCGATGTCCGAAGTATACTCATGCTTGACCTTTGTATAAAGTTTGACCAAAATCTGTCAAAGAATGAAGTTGCTAAGTGTTTACATTGAATCGAGACGCGACGGAACGGACATGGGTAATACTATATGCCCCCCCCCCCCCTTTTTTTTTTTTTTATGGCGGGGGACATATTTGTCTATTAAAAATAGGATGACCATTGTGGCTTTTTCTGGAAGAGCTAAATGAGGCACAAACTGTAGATCTATTGTTTTGTTTTTAAACTGAAATGCTCAAAGCTGGTTTCGCTTGCTGTAAGGAAACTAGAAATCTGCCATGCGCGGCTTCGAAAAATTGATTATTAGTTTCAGTATCACGTATGAGTCAACAGAGACGTTTCAGTATAGCAACATTAAGTAGTAAATTATATAATAAATTATTGCAATGAACTAAAAATCTCCTCTCATGTAATTTATACTAATTGTGAAACCTCTGTCCACATTTCTCAAGACACTTTACAAAGTACAATAGTTGTAAGGTCCAAGTGAGCATTAGCTGCTATATATTTGTGGGGGGAGGGGGGATTAAAGTGTAAATTTTTCGCGTACCTGGAGCGGGTTTCGCACAATCTTCATCAACCAAGCCATCTCCGTCATTATCTGCAAAAGAAAGGTAGCGTAGTGTCACATTAAAATGGCGTCATCTTTTCAATGATGACGTGAATTTAATAAAAGTTCTCAACGTCAAAATATGAATGAAATATGTTTCACTACCCGAAGGAAGTGTCCATGAACACTGCAATATACATGGTCATTACTGTATGAACATTTCCGTTCTATTGTAACTTGCATATTTTAAAGTCACTCTCTTTGTACGAAGTAACACTCTTTTTAGGAAAAACATCAATGTCAAAAAAGCGTTATTGACATGCATTTAATATGCGACGATTTGCTAGTTATTAAAAATTAGCATTGCCTCGTGAATGTCATTAAGTCAAAATCCAGTATTTCAAAACAAGTTTGTGTCGATGCTATAAATACTTAAAACATTGTTTTCCACTGCCGAAATCTTAAAAATGCTAGAGAGTTGTATCAAAATGTCCGAGTTTATCACATGCTAAGTGAATTAACTACAGGACTGGATTGTATGGTATTTATGCTGATTTTTTTTTAAAATTTTATCATATACACATGTCTATCTTTTTTTTCCCAAATATCTAACACTGAATTTTAATGTAAACACCATTTCTACGACGTCACAGATTACGCCACAGTATGTGACGCGTATCCACATGTGTGATGGCCACAGGCTTCCTTGCAATCACTCAATTTAGCTGATGTGATAACGAACCCTCGAAGCTTAATGCAACAGATTTCTGTGGACAATTTTAGATGAAGAAAAAAAAGAATGAAAATGCCTCAGTATAGTGAAATCCTTAGTAAGAGTACCACATGAAGTTCGCACGTGTAAGTCACGTGATCATCTCGTTACTAACCTGCTCCGCCATTGGCTGACGTACAAAGCTCCTCGTCTATCAGGCCGTCACAGTCGTTGTCCAAACCATCACCAACCACAGACGTAGAGTTAACACATACCTGTGATTATGATAACTTATATTCATTTATACCTAGTATACCCTATCTACATAGCAGCGTGTCTGGTATTTCTGTTGATCCCATGGCGGGGAAAAAATTCAAATCGGGGGATAATAAAATAGTAACGTTTAGACCAGAAACTCTTTCAAGGATATTATTTGATATGTATTGTCCTCGCTGTCGGGAAACAAACAATCGTGTTCCACGTCTGTAATAGCAATAAGTATTTAATGATATCGTGATAGATTATTAGGCCACCCTTGTCATCACATGGAACACAGAGGTGATACTTTTTACTATATTTCTAATAAGCCCACATCTAGGGAAATAAATAAGGGAAACGCGAGCGCGACAGGTAACTACAATGTTTAATTTCAAAGATCACGTGCTCTCAATAAACCCCATTCAGATATGCTTTTAAATTAGGCATTATTACTTTTATCTCGAGTGGTTAATTTCAAAGATCACGTGCTCTCAATAAACCCCATTCAGATATGCTTTTAGATCAGGTATAATAACTTTTATGTGAAACCAATCCTAGCATTTGGCGATACGGTCAAATATAAAAGCAATGCTTACAGTGTTGATTGGGGCCATGCGCATGCCTGTTGTAAATCCGTATGTCTCGTACTTTGCTTGGCCGTATAAGTAGCCACCGAACATGGAGATGGTAGAGGTGTGCCGAACGGTGTGGGAGCCGTGACTAACGGTCACGTATCCAGCAACGTATTCGGTTCCACTGATACTGTTATACGTGGTAGATGGAAACACGTCACCGTCCAGTCGGAGTCCGTCCTTCTGGGATTCTTTCACCACAAACATGAAGTAGTTATTATACGACCCCTATAACAGAGTCAATAACACTCTTGAATGAAGATAGGATTATAATGAGGTACAATGTTCGCACTACATTAGAAGTTACATAAATGCTTAATCAAAATCGTTGCTTATAAGGAGGTTATATTTTGTTCACATGACAACTATTGTTTCAAACTCGTGTCAATGGCCAGATATATAATTCAAAACACATAACCACAGATACGTTAAGTTTGCAAATTCTGGATTGTGACAGGGCGATGTTATGGGTGGGAGGGGGTAAACATTAGACAGTCATTTCTTATAACCGTCTACGGTTGAAGAATGAACGTCTAAATATTTGTCGGGTGTCTTATTTGCGGTTGTAGCCGAAATAAGGGCGTAAAGATACCAACCAGAACAGCGAACGGACGGAATTTTATCGATTCAAACTAAAATTACATCGCAAGATGTCATTTATATAGAATGCTTCCGTTGAGAATGACTTGAAACAAATATTTCATAATAGTCATAAAAGCAATAAAAAATTGAATTTGATTCTACTATATACCTTAAGGTCTTGTTTACATAAGACGCAAAATGTGAAGTTACCTGGGAATATTTCGGCGTGGCGAACGTGTAATCTGCAGCGAACTGTTCGATAGGCGGAATAATCATCATCATCGGATCAGATTTCTCGCCCCTTTTCTGCTGACTCAAACAAAATTGCACCAAAAGAATTGGTTTGTCTGAAGTAATTTTGCAGTAAGCAGTAGAAGGGATTTCCTTTTCAACCATATCACCAGCGTTAGTGATGGTAAAAGTTTCGGTATAACCGCCTGTAATTGTCACTGTTGTGGAGTTCTCACTCGGTATGAACCGGAAGTAGTCACCAACTGTCCGCAACGGAATGGGAACTGTGATAAAGTTCTTGCCCCAGGAATCGATCCTCGTCAGTTGTTCTACTAAATGATCGGAAGTTTCGCCCGACCCGATCGTTGTCTTCTTGTTGCCACTGAATACAGCAATGTTTTTGTCAGCGACGATCATGGTGCCGCTAAGATCGCCGGTGCTGTAGAATTGAAACGTATCGTATCTGTCCATTGAAAGTGAGAAGGAATCTCCGGAGTAGTAGTAGACACTATCGTAGTAGACGTAATCGCTATTGCCAATTGCTGACCCAAGGGTCACCGTTACTGATGTAGAGTCATTTACGGCAGCAATCAAGATCTCGCACTGTCGTGATGGGGGATAGTAGGTGATGGCGAGGTATTCCTTACCAAGGACGTCGGTGGGAAGACCGAGAAAGGCATCACACGAATACGTTTCCTTGTTGACCCCATAAATCACAACTTCATCATCCGCGCTGATCAATATACCCTTGGAATCCATGTTCGTCCCCGACATACGAATCAACGGCGAGAACGACAACTCTTTAACAACACCAGCAGTAACGGTGAAACTCTCGCTGATTCCCGCGGAAGAGTAACGAGGAGCCGAGATTTGAACGTTGACAGTGGTTGTTTTGGTTGTCGTAACCAAGAGCTCCACGTCAAAGCTAGCCGCGATATTTTCCATGTAGCCGATGATGAACTCTGTACCTGCATTGTCAGGTGCACCTGTAATTTTGTAACGCTTGTTAGTATTTATTTTTATAAAGTATTTATAAAATATGTACATTATCTTTGTACAGACCTTAGATACACTTTTACCAACTAAAAATGTTGTTATAATCTAAAACAAAACAGCGAGAACCATTACACGTGAATGTTTTCCAATCAAAAGTTTCAGCAATCAGTGACCAACCATGACGTGACGTCAAATCATTTTGACGGACATTCCCGAATGTTTTGCGATCGACATTCGCCGCCTGATGACACTGGTCACCTTGAAAGCACGACCTTGTTCCAGCAAAAATGGCAATTTTGCCAATTGGAAAGACATTTTTGTTTAAAATGTAATTTGAACCAAACAAATCCACAAAGAACGGTAACTAACAGTATTTATGCTGTTTTGAACGTAAATATAAGGATAGAAATGCTTTTTAAAAGAATATTTTCACATAAACTTTCGAAGATGTGCTTATTCAGTCCTTAAATGTAACGAAACGTGCCTTATCTACTTGTAAAACTCGCTTCAGGCGATTGCTCAGTTGAAATTCGACAGTGATACCGCATTCGCTCAATACCACGTGCTGATACATTATATAGGATCGATGCGTGATATTTGATAGATACCTGATATAGGATAGACACGTAATAAAGGATAGACACGTGATATAGGATAGATACGTGATATAGGATAGACACGTGATAAAGGATACACACGTGATATATAAAAGACACGTGATATAGGATAGACACGTGATATAGGATAGACACGTGATATAGGATAGACACGTGATATAGAATAGACATGTGATATAGGATAGATACGTGATATATGATAAATACATGATATTGGATAGATACGTGATAAAGGATAGACACGTGATATAGGATAGACACGTGATAAAGAATAGACACGTGATATAGGATAGATACGTGATATAGGATAGATACGTGATATAGGATAAATACGTGATATCAGATAAACACGTGATATAGGATAGACACGTGATATAGAATAGACATGTGATATAGGATAGATACGTGATATATGATAAATACGTGATATCGGATAGACACGCAATATAGGAGAGACACATATAGGATAGACACGTGATATATAATATATACGTGATATAGGATAAATACGTGATATAGTATAGATACGTGATATAGGATAGATACGTGATAAAGGATAAATACTTGATATAGGATAGATGCGGGATATAGGATAGACACGTGATATAGGATAGACACGTGATATAGGATAGATACGTGGTATAGGATAGACACGTGATATAGGATAGATACGTAATATAGGATAGACACGTGATATAGGATAGACACGTGAAATAGAATAGATACGTGATATAGGATAAATACAATGTTAATTACACCTTTTACAAAAGATCACCAGATAAAGGTAAATGATGAACACATGTAAGTAGTGGTAAACTACTGATGTCTTCAAATCGTCATGCAGTTAGATAAGACAAGCAGAACGGTCGATTTACAAATAAACCTATTTCTATACATAAATGACTTTCTTCAGAATGTCGTTTTCTTCTTATAATGTAGATCAAAAGAAACCTTGTTGATGGAATTGTAATCAGAAGAATTTGTGAATTTCTGTTAAAAAATCCTCATCATGTTTGCTTATGTGATTTGTACTATTCATGCCAAGTATTCCATAACTTGAATAAATACAGTTTAAACCAAAACTCTCTGTACTTAATGAGATACAATGGTGATCGTTCCCCAGCAGATATCTTAAAGAAATGAAGTCTATGGTCAATATGAATATTGGTTTTTGTTTACAAACCTAGAGTTAAAAGTTTTTTTATAACACACTATTGCAAAATCGAGTAACTGCAGCTAAGCTTCATATGGGAAAATAGAGCTCATTTGAAAGCAATTAAAATTCAACTGTAATGATCTCAAAACTACTGAACAGTACATATTTCTCAGATTGAGTTTGAATTCATTCTTTCGTTGTCCGGGAACATAGCGTCTCTGAATTTTACACATACTTAGTATTGCGGTGTGTTTTGTACCATTAAAGTATTGCTATGTTTATATAACCGGCCAAATACGGAAATGGTGACAGAATGGGGAAGATAGCTCTAGTTTTAAAGTGGAAGAGTGTTTCATTCTATCAAATACTTACACGTATATGTATCGGCCAACACCACATGTGCATATGTTAAACGTAATCAACATCATAAAAAATACTTACATAATGCTGAGGCGAGCAAAAACGCAACTAGAACCACGCACTGAAGGACAACTGAAAAAAGGGCAAATGTCAGTGTTTCGTTAAGTAGACGATACCACTGGTTAACACACACAACCTGAACTCAAAACAACCAAAACAGAAGGAAAGACAACATGAACACACTGAAAATTACCGAAAGTGAAACCTGTCACAGCAAGACGGCTTTATTGGTGGTGCTATATGGATCTTTTCACAATCCATACTTACCAACCTGAAGGAAATGTTTAGAAATAAGGCTTTATTTTCTTCAATTATATATGTTTCATTTAGATTGCAATTTTGTGATACTGTTATACAATCCAGGAAAATATAGGAGACTATACGGTAAAAGTTCATTATCCTCGACGTTTATTTGTTTGATATTTGGTTAGTGCTCAAAACAAGAAGTGGATCCCATCGCTAAATATTTTTTTTTATTAAAGATTAGATAAATTCCTATATTTCAAACAAATTAAAAAGATTTTGAAGTACATTCTTAGTTTCCATTTACCGTAATTTACCGTTATCATAAAAAAATAAAAAAATATTAAGATTTTACTACATACCACAACAAGTGAAAATAAAGAAAACGGTATAAAATCATAAAACGGTATAAAATCATAAAACGGTATAAAATCATTTGAAATGTCTAGCATTTATCAAAATGGCCGCTAGGGAATTTAAAAATAATATGATACTTATTAAAGGCAATATCAATATATTATTCAATTTAAGAAATTTCAAACTAAGAATCAAACGTCAAGATATAAAAAAAAACATGAATGAAAACGGATAGAAAAATAGATTAAATTTTAATAAGCTTTAAATTAGATTTTTTTCTTCAGGAAAATGCAGCATATTTAGCGATTACCGCCGGCCTCCTCACATGCTCATTTAAATTTAAAATCAAACATCAACTGTTTCTTAAACTTCTCTCGTTAACATATATCCAACAAAAGAAGTTCAACCTTTATAGAACTGTAATGATGAGTATAAATATCAATGTTTAATGCATGGCATGCTCGATTCGCATCAGCAATTAAACTCGCTATGTTGCCATGACTACGAACAGACAGATGTATCTTCTCCTGGAGTCCTCCGGAGACGCTATATTTTTAAACCTTTCTCATGCTCATACTTGGGATAAGTGCCTAAGCTTAACNGGAGTCCTCCGGAGACGCTATATTAAAACCTTTCTTATGCTCATACTTGGGATAAGTGCCTAAGCTTAACTCGTTATTCAATCCAGAAAACATCTTTCAAGTCTTATATAATATTAAGCAAACTTCTAGCCGATAACTATTAACTTCCGTTTTTTAAATGTTTAAATTTTGGTGCCATTGCAAGAAGCCCGTATATTTGTTGCAAACTTCTATAAATGTATATAGTTATACACCAAGGGTAACAAAATATATGTTAAGAAAACTAGTAAACATATTAAATTCATCTCGTTAATGTATTTGAATATGACAGAA